ACTTGTGATTGACAGGTCATTCTCAGTGAGTCTGTCCAGCTCAACGCACCAAACTCAGATCAAACTGTCAAACTAGGCAGTGATGATCAAATATGAATCAAGATTCTGTTACTGTGTCGACAGTTTCTTTCCTAAAATCGTTTCAGAAACATATTTGAGTGTACTGTTTATCTGGAATACTAGATCGTGTGTTACCAGGTGACTGCTGTATGGGACCAGGAGTTGAAACTGTGCAGCCAATGAGAGCAGCTCAACTTGCAGTGCGTCACCTCTGATGGCTCAGACAAACTCTCATGGTGACGACCATAATGCCAACCTTGAGACTCCACAAACCAATGGGTGATGGCATGATAGGTTCACATTACTTGGTTGGTACCATGTTATCATAACTGACAGAAAAGATAGACAAAGCCATAAAGATAAGAATTAATTTGTAATTAACTGGAGTTCTCCTTAAACATTAGCAGAAACTTGATTACATTTTTCTACTAACCTCTTTCTCAATCTCAGCCAGTGACTTGATTGTAATGCCCATCAGATCCACCTGCTGCAGCTGAACATGGAGAGCAGAGACCGTTAGTTACTTGTATCGAAGAAGAAGAATATTACTACTACATATTTCAAATGCGTTGAGCTTTTATATAGACAAAAACCTGTGACCGACTATCAGGTCAACCTGTCAATCACTCAACTCAGACTACTTACATCAGACGAGGCACAGGCAAACTTCTCAGAGATCATGAAAGGCACTCCATCCATTGCTGAAAGTTCAAATGGACAAATCAAATAAATGATACATACATGTATCAGTCTGTGGAAAAAACATTTATTCACAAAGTTACAAAACACACACTAAAGGGTCTATTAATTCTACACACACAACAAGTGGAGCAGAGTGGTAGTTTTTGGGTTGTGTGAGCATCTCCACCTGCCATGTTGGTTCATGTGAGTAGCCCAGATTCTAAAAGGGCTGGCTGAAGTGAAATACAGGTCGGAAGTTGTTCTGGTTAAATAAACACACTCTCAGCCAGTCACATTGCCCTGAAACAGCTGAGTGAAGTATGACAATGTAATTTGACAAACGTCTGCAGCCAGGTTTTGCTTTGCAGTTGTTACAGCATGAACAACACAAACTTTTCCGATAACTGCAACTTTAGTAATACTAACTTCATTAACACAATCCATTTATAAGCTCTGTCATCTGCTCAATCATCAGGATTTTACTGGATTTTAGACTATTTTTCACACAGACAAAAACACAAAACTTAACCGCAACCTTGTGTCCGCCACCATATGCTTAACATCAATTTTCCCCAACTGGAACCTTATCCTAACTCAATAGCCTTAACAGCACTCTGAAGACATGAGCAGTGACCACAATGACCTCACTTTACAAAAATGTCCTCACTGTGAAGCTCTAAGACTCTAGTAAGTTCTCACAAAGACAGTAGTGCAGGAGAAACAGAGCAGCAGTGAGAAAGCGAAGCGCTCTGTTGAACCAGGCCTTTAAACAGAATCCTGGTTAGCTCGACTCAGACAGGTCATGCTACAATGGAGATCATCTCCTGAACCTGCTGACCCTTTTTATAATATTATCTTTAATATTATAATATTTTATTTGATGAGTTCTGATAAGAAGGACTATAAATATCCAAGTGTCAATAAGTAGAATAATCTGTGTCAGGAAAAACACAGCTGCACTAGCTGTTGTTGTGAGGCTGCTTTGAGCTAACTGCTAACGCTAACATGCTGATTTCCACAGGTAATATATACTTGTAATATATCTGTTGGCATGCTAACATTTGCTAATACAGCTGAGGCTGATGGGAACGCCATTAGTTTTGCAGGTATTTGGTCAAAGAGTATGGAACAGTTAAATTCTGAAGCCACATTGAAGCCAACAGGAACTTGTAGCATTTAAAGTACAATTTACACACACCAACAACACCATGTGTGGCATGAGTTTGATTGGCACATTTCAAAAAGACATCTGTGATTTTGTGGAAAGGGTTAGGGTTAGAGAAAAGTCACAAAGTTTTGCTGACCTGAGATAGCATACAGATTGGAGTTCTGGTGTTCATAGTCTGGCCTGGTAGTGCTCTTCCCTCTGAAGCTGGCCGGAAGAGTCATAGAAATATGTCTTGGGACAAAAAGAAAGAAATATGATGAGTTCAATGAAGACAAACCACT